GGGGGGGGGGGACCGCGACGACCAACAGAAACGTGTACCTGAACCGCACCGCGCGAACAGGTGTTTGCTTTCATATACGACGGGGGGAAACGGACGCGACGCATATGCGTGCGCTCGAATGAGTGTGCACATAACTGACCCCTATCTTCGAGGCCCTTCGGGGACTTGCGTCGACCTTACCGAAGACGGGAGCCCGAAGATTTCCGGTCTTCGAGTCCCCTCGAAACTTAAGAAACAAACCGATAGAAGGCTGTAAGAGTTACAACTACGTGAATAAGAATAAAACGACGCGAAATAATAATTAATTATAATAATTATAATAATTAAAAGTAGGGTAAAATAGCGTAATTTGGTCAATAACATTTGTTGAGCGCTGCGGTTCGCACTAGACAGTTGTCGTTTTGTGATGTCATTAAATTGTCATTGTATTAGCTTCACTTTTGATGAGACATAGAGTTGAATAGACGTGTTAATTTTTGTTAATTTTCTTTCGTTAAGTTGACCAAATTACGCTATACTCCCCTATGTAATAAATAAAAATAAATAATTATAATAATTACAAGTAATAAATAGCTTATATATATGTATTGGAGAGAGAATTTTTGATGTTTGATAAGAAGATAAAAGATATAATCGTTTCATAGCATGATAATAATTTTTATTAACTTATTTTGAAAAATATGAACTAATAGCAGCTACGTCTAATAGAAGTTAGCGGATATAATTTATGGATAATAATTCAAAAAATCAGGAAGATCCCTGACCTGGCGCAACATTATAATATCTTTCATATTAATATCTCTTCTTATCTTCTCAACTTTAATCATGAGATTGTATGAGATTATAAAAGTACAGCGAACTGTAATAACGAGTGACGAATCACATAATCGAGAAATGACTATAACAATTGCGTAAGCGCGCAATTTTTTTCGGCAATACGCGTAGCGTCTCGTTCCCCTTGGCGGCTCGCGCGATTTAATGTCGTGAGAAGTGGTAGTAGAGGGCAAGTGGAACGAGACTCGCATTGCGGACGCCGCGACTCGCTTATGGCATCGCGACGACCGACGTCCCCCGCGGATCATCGGTCTGTGAAATTGCGGGCGTACCTCCTCGTCCGTCCCCGTGCCCCCCCATGGGAAAGATGACTTTTATTATGCACGGTTCTTGCAGTTAATAAACATCGGCCAGTCTTAAGTCCTTTCCACTTTGAACCAGTTTCTGCTATTGTCCGTGATTTACGCAGAATGGCTCGCTAACGGTGCGTTCACTGGCGGACACAATCGAGACATGCAATTTATCGAGTATTTTCGAAAGTGCTCCATTATTATATAAACGTTCTCAAATGCCTGGCCATTATAACACAAATAGGGATTTACAATCACTTTTTGTTCGATTTTTATGGAACAGTTACCTAGTTATATGCTATTTGATTGTTAAAAATATCTTCACTGTTAGTGACTTTATTACTATCTGTTTAAAATAACGCGTTGTTTTTGCCGTTTTTATTAGATTATTTTTGTATGTTATTGGTTCTATTCGTGTTAATATTTTTTATTATTATATTGATAAAGTGTAATATACTTACTGTGTCGAGAATCTTGAAAAATATTCTGAAAGAAATATTCGGAGCGAAACTGTTAATGTTACTGATCTGAATAAATTAAAATCAGCTTTTAAAGAATCCTTCCAACCGACACGAGCGTATCGCGATATTGTATGCACATGAGTCAAAGAAGACATATCGTTTCCCACGCGATCGCGTGGCAGCTTCGGTAAGAGTTTGCTCATTATTAACTGAACGGTACTGAGTATTCGCTCTTTCTAAGGACGATTTAGTAATGAATTTTAATTGTTTTAATTTTGTATTCATTCATGATATTTTATATAAGTACTTTTTGATAAAATATAAAGTTTAATTTTTTTCCAAATAAAGACGTTGTGTTTTCCTAAAAGAAGCAAAGTATTTATTGTAGACAAGTATAATATTAAACGTAATAATTACAGAAGGTATCCTTTTTTTTCTTACAATACATAGCTTATACAAGAGATATTAATAATCCATTAACACAGCCATTTATTGACAATTGAAATATTTCACAAAATAACAAAGCTTTTTGGCCATTGTACAAATGTCTACTGTCTAGGAAAGCGCCGATAAAATTTTGTCATACATTTAAAATGGAATGCTTGACATTGCGAGACATATAATTTCTACATACGTATTTCTACGGACTTAAATTATGAACGATAATTAAAAGCCTTTACTGGGATAAGCGTGAGTATAGCGTTCGATAAGCGCTGATCGATTAGCATCACGCGGAATTACGGATACACAGCTTAACGGAAGAGTGGATCTGTTCGTCATCCTTTCGTATCCCTCACATCACCGGCGTTCCGTTCCATTGTATGAGAGCATCCTGCCACCTTTGGTGCAGCGTGGAACAATAAGAAGTGATATCTTGAATTCTGTTTACGAGTAACGCTCGAGTGGTCTCGTAGCTATCGCATGATTATTTCGTAATCGAGAAAACAATAGTAATCTTAGATCTTTTCCTCGCACTGAAAAGCTTCTAAAGTTAATGGGAGAAAGTAAATAAATTTTTTAAATTGTGATGTATATAAAGCACGAAATACCTGTAGGTATTTAAATCGTCCAAAATCATTTATTATAGTGCAAGATATATGTTTTTATATATATGTATAGACAAATATAAAATTCTCGTAAAATTGAGGAAAGTAAAATTTACTTAAGTAAAATTTATATTTTACAAATAAATTATTTATTAAATAATACTAACTTGGATCGAATAAGTTTCTCTAACGGTGTCGCGGCAATATCCGTGGTTTCCATTGTTGCAGCATCTGAGCTCCCGGAAGCTTCGTTTGCCCTGGTATCCACCGTCAACGTAGCGTAACTGCCACCGCAGGTGAAATATTGAACCTCGAACCTTTTGATATATATACAGAATAGGTGCTATTTCTTTGTGATTGTCTAAGAAAAAGTCAGATGCTATAATTTATGTGCTTGTGTTTAGAAATTAGGAGCAATTCTGAACTACGATTACACATATTTTTTTATACATGTAATCAATGTAACAACTTTTTTCTTATTTATGTTTTATATAAATTGCATATGTTATTATCTTTATTTTAGACAGAGGCTATCATATAATATATCATATATTCATACTAATTATTATCATATAACAATTATCATGCTATATAGAAATAAAATATAATTATTATCGTGATGATGATTGAATTAATAAGATATTGATAAATTAAAATAAGAAAAATGACAAATAAAATTAATAAAAACCAAGTAAATTAAAATTAGATTATGTATACCGTCGTTCTGCATGATAATTCCTCAGCAACTCTCGATTAGTATTGAAGAGCACGCCGTGATGACCGAGGCAAAGAGTCATCCATATCGGTAGACTGGGTGTCTTCAATCGAGAACCCGGCTGTTTGCTTATATTGCTGTCACCTTCGTACACTAAGAACCCCACTTCGCTTCTCATGAGGACACCCCAATGCGGTACAGCCTTATTTCGCATTAATTACATTAAATTAACATTGAATAAACAATCGTCTTTTTTAAATTAGAGACTATACTTAAATTATATTGAAACGATCCATTTTTTGATATATATTAATAATTCTTTTTGTGCAAACCATCTGTGATACGTAAATACAGAAATTTCATATCAATTTCAATGTAATTCATGGAAATTGTAGTATATTATAATAAATGTATAATTACAAATACATAAATTTGTAAATGCCAAAGGAATTATTATACAGACTTACATATGTATTTTCATCACCAATGTGAATCACTCCATTGTGAAGATGTGGTGAAGCACGACCAGTTAAAACAAAGACAACAATACTGATCGGGCCTTCTTCCGAACATCCAGCGAGGATCGATGCCTTTGGATCTTCTAAATCATTTCGAATTCTGAAATATGTATTTAAATATGTACATCAACAATAAAAATAACATGTATTTGATGGTCAATCTTTAATTTATTGAAATGAAATTGAGAGAAAATGCAGAAGAAGGTTTCTTACTTTGAGAGGCCTCTCGAAAGCACTGCACTGTATAAAAGTAACTTCGCGCCAGGTCCGCCTTCGTCGTGAAACTAAAGGTACAAAAATAAAGATTATGACGAAATATTTATTCTAAATAAGATACTTTTATTGATGTTGTGGAAAAGAAATTAATTTTATAACGATGATAAAACTGATGTATGAGTTTGATATAGAAATTATTATACACATTATATATGCGACTCTTTCACTTATAATGTCCGATAATGTTTGTCTGACACTCAATTTCCTTTAAGTATTTTAGTTTCTTTACGTAAATGCTCACCAAGTACAAGTACCTCTTGACAAATATCTCGAGATCCTCCAAGGAATTGAACTCGAAGAGGTGCAGCTGAAATGCAAAGCAATCTCTCACAAGAGGTGCACTTGAATCTGATAACGTTGTAGAAAATGGATTGTCAACTGTACGGACAAAGAAATATCGCGCAATCTTGAGACTATTCTCTAACACACTTGGCTAAATACCAACGTTATAATTTGAGACATATTCTGTTTCGTCGTAAATTAATTAAATGAGAAAGCTTAGATTTCACTGCGCTACTCGTTAACGTGATAGAAATAGAGTGGATGCACCAGTGCATAACTAAATTGTTTTACTGAACGAGAATGTTAATTAAAGCTACAGATTTATCTTTTCAATAAAGGTTTAAATTTTTAACAGTTATTTGTTTAATACAAATATATTACATTAATATTAGTATAGTATATTATTTATAACTGAATAACTAAGAAATATATTAAAACTGAAGCAATCTTTAAAAATATCTATTTGATTTATTTATGCAAAAGATTATAAAAAATAAAAAGTTACCGTTTCTGTTAATCCATCTTGAAAATACTGCACACTGTGTTGAAGATACGGTGTATCTTGCGGCAGGGCTACTACGGCCTTTGGCACGACATTTGAACATGTGGACACGGAGAAACCACCTGCACAACGCCAAATAATCTCTGATATTGCAGAAATCAACACTTCGATCTGTCGCTCGTACGAAGGTTTCAGCAGGCTGCAATCGGAAGAAATTTTCTTTACAATCAAGTTACGATTTCGTACAATAATTACACTTATTTAATAATATTGTAATTATTATTTTATTATTAATGTAATATTTAAAGATATCAAAACTTTTCCTTGTAATTCGGCTAAATTTATAAATGTATTAAAAAATTACTTATCATGTTTAATATAAAATTACAGAAGACAATAAAACATTTTATTAGAAAGATATAATAATATTGTGATAATCGTTGTATGTTCAGATAAATTATTAACATTTTTATAATAGTAAATATATTTTGTAATCATCATTAGTAATTACTTAATTTTTTATGTAAATACTTGTTATTTATTGTCATATTCTCGATAAAATTTTCATCTGCATAGGCGGCAATAAAATGATATATGTGCTGTTTAACGCACTTACACTTCGGGACTTGCACGTAGATCTTGCTTGTCGCATTTGAACAAAAAGTGTTTCAGCATGACAGCTTGCACTGCGGTGACGAGGCCTCGTGTTGTGTTTCTGGGCGTTCTCAATCCAAATGCTAAACTTTGTCCATATGGTCGTAAAGTAAGTCCGGTCCTTGCCCATTCGATTTTCGGCGGCGTCGCGCAGGAACCAAAGATCAACGTTCTCAAAGCCTACAATAGGAGAGAATCATCAGTCATACAACGATTAATTTTTATAAATTAAAAGCAAATTTCTACAAACTTTTATATGCAAGTTTGTATCTTTATTATATTTATAATAAAAATTATGTACTTCAAAATTACCATGCATGTTTCTTGTTCGATGGGTTGTCCACCGATTACGGGTGTTTTTGGTAGGGCTCTCGTATTACGTGGATAGAGTATCCTTTCTGAAATACAATCCAAAAGATATTAGTCCTCGTGAAATAAAGCAGAGCTTAAAACTTAAACGCCTATTTACACCTGGATAGAGTTCGTCGGGTTCGGCCATAAGAGCAGCGTATCGGGCTGTCCGAGTCGACAGCAACATCTTCGAAATATTCTTAAATGCTATGATAATTAACGGTATCGAAAGTATCAGTTGTAATTATTTTACGATACTATATTACATCGACTAAAAAAAAATCCAATGTACATTATATTGCACAAACATTAATTCAGTTTGATGCTTTATCGAAATGTTTTATATGTTATTTTTTACAATTAGATTTTTTACTGTTTTCAAATAATTAATGTAAAGCACAAATATCTTTCTTTACGCAATTAATAATTTTATAATTTTGTTTATCGTAATCTTTAATTTATTATTTAATGACACCATTTTTTTGCTTTTTGCACGGCACGTGTATTGAAGTGCAAGAAACGGTTTCGTCGACGGGTTTCTCGAGTAATTCCGCAGCTAGTTGTCATCCGATAATACTACGCCGGTTGAATATCAGATATCAATTGAAATCGTGCCGGAATCCGCACGTTCCTTTATATAGGAACTGTGATATGCGGCGCTTGTGCGTGCAGGCATCTCGCGAAATACGTCGCGTCGGGGCGTTCAGACCGATCGTGCACGGAAGGTGTCAATTCAAACGTCCGAAAAGAGACACGCCAGTTGAAAACGATAGACATGCCCTACTATTGCTACTAATGTGCTCGCCATGCCGCACTTTGAGCTGGGATTTGAGCGCAGGTGAGTGCGGCGTAACTGAATCATCTGAAGAGCTATCATCAAGAAAAAAGAAGGAACAAAAAGAAAAGAGGTAGTAGAAGAGAAAAGTAGAAGAACATAGAATATAGACGGAAAAGATAAAAGGAAAGAGAGCTGAATAGAAGAAAAAAAGAAAGAAAGATGTGACAAGATAAGCAAAATAACATATAAAAAGAGAAATAAAAAAGAAAAAAAGGAGGAAAAGTAAAACGATGAAAAATTAAGAATTATAGAATTTTTATTCTTTTAGCACTGATTGCAGTGAATCAAATTTGCTACATTTTTATACTATTATTTATTCTTCTTCGAGCATGCGTTGTCGCATGTTATAATATTGAAGTTAGGTATTACAAAGTTTGTGTAAAGATAAAGGATGAAATCAAGATTGGCAAAGGTTGAAGGATCATTTAAAGTTTTACTATTGGGAGAATGAGAGATAATTAAAACATTAGTTACGTCGTTGCATGTATGTACGTAACAGTGTTATAGATGTAACCGAAGTTATCCAAGTTCCTGTGTTTCCCGTGTTTCCGTTAACGAGTGCTTTGGGAGACGGTGAAGTTTGCTGTTTATACACATACGCGACGGGTACGCTCGGGTCTTTAGACTTCTCGCGTGTATGTTGGATATAATCGCGGAAAGCACACAGGGGTAAGATAGGGTAAATTTGGGGGGCAAGGTTCTTGTTTTCTCGGAACAGTTTGGATAAGCTGATCGATTGTTATGGCGGGACCTTGACGGATCTGACAGAAAACTAATAAAGGAATATGTGGGAATGCCAAACGTGCGAGGTTTTCAATCAAATTAACTACATACACTATATTTAATACTGCAAGGTAAAGCTTGAAGCAGTTATATAAAAGCGTAATTGTTATTTTGGTATTCATGTATGTAATTGAAAAAGTATATGCAATTGATAAAAAGAAGAGAAAATTAGAATTTATTAAGACATGCATTTTTACAAATTTTCATTCTAAAAATCTCTAAAATAAAAATAATTCAAAAAATTTTATATTTGACAAATTTTACATGTGTGCAGAAAGATAAATTACATCAAAAGGATAATTATTTTATTCTACTCTACATTTTTATACTTTGTCAGAAAATTACATTTTAATAATTAAAATTCTTATTTAGCTTTGTATTGCTATTTTTTCTTCTATTTATTTTTAACTCTCTTGCATATTCCTACTATTTAATCTATTAGTAAGTACGTTTTTAAGTTTGAACTAATTGTAAGATTTATGTCATTGCAAATTATTTTTATATAAAAAAATATTATCATATTATTGTGAAATAAAAATTCTTTTCGTGCAAACATGCGTGATGCAATAAAATTTCTCGATTCCCTCTTCTTTTATAGATGTCGTAAAAGCGGAGCCCGACCGAATATAATCGAGAGAAGAATCGTGAGGATGACAACAGAAGCTGCCATAATCGGCCATTTTCAGATGGCGAAGACATATATATCATTCGGCGCGGCCTTTCGACTACCTCGTAGCTCGAAAGCGATCGCGTGTTCGCGTGCAATCAAGATATCGGATTACGAATTCGCGCCGGAACGGCCATCTGCATTCGGCGATTGCACACCCCGATATATCGCGCCCCTAATTTACATTTGCGAGGCGCCTCTCGAGGAGGCATACCTATCGATCTATTCGACCGTTTACGTTCCTGCAGTGTACACGCTTGTACGTTCCATAGAATTATACTTGGTTGCATCCTTACCCCTGTGCTCTATTTTCTTAACAAGGCAAATGAGCTTGCCTTAAAGGTAGAGCCAAAGTTACAATAAAGATGCATGTTACATTTGTGAGCTTTTAGGGTGAAATGAATACAAAATAGTGTTAATTATATTATTAATGAAAATCTTTATTCATTCACTGTACTATTTTTTATAATAATAAATGTTCTTCTGAGATTGGCAGAATTCTTATCGTCTTTTACTGACAAATTTTCTCATAAAGTTATTGCAAAGCGTGATAAGATTTATATTTAATATTAATGTATAGTATATATGTTACTTACTAATTTTTTGATAACGTGTATTACTCATAGTCGAGAGAACACTTAATTTACGAAAAATTGCATGGGTACCTCGTCCATAACGCAAGCGCGCTCTCCTTTCATACTTCGTTAAATTTAAGTTCGTAATTGGTTTGCACAAATGAAGGTTATCGCAATAAGAGAAAGTTACTGAAGTTGATTAATAATTTAATTCAGCGCAACATTAACTTACGATTGGAAGAAGATTGCATTAAAATTTAAATCTCTCTGCGTACACTTAGAATTGAATGCAATATACATTAGATTAGATACTAAAAAGTAGTGGAAGCGTTGCAACCTAACTTTTATAATTTAAATTACTAATATAATTGGAATTTAATATCTTTAAAATAATTATAACTTAGTTTTCCCAACATAATATATCGTTTTTCTGAGGGAAAAGCTAGGAAAGAAACTCAATTTCTTACATTTTTTTTTACTAAATTCACTAAATAAAGTATAATTAAACATTATGTGATTAAATATGCAAATTTAGAATATAATCGCGAACTGCATATTATAAAATTAAGGCAATCATAGCATGCAAATAAAAAACTGTATTTTTGAGAGATTTCATACCTCTGTCGCGAAGATATGGGGGTGGCTTCTCCTTGCGCATCTCCTTGCAATGTCGCTTATCGCAGGCGGATGTTGCCACAGTGGCTTCCTTCTCTTCCGCTAGGTCGGATTCAGCCATTGTTGGAGCTTACCCTCTTTGTATTCTTATTCAAGATTTAAATTCAGACACACATCATGACTCATAGTCTCTAAAGCACCAATTTTAAATCATCAATAACCGTTCGTACATAATAGATCGCCAGTGGACACCATCTCAGTTATTTTTTTTATGTCAACAATCACACATGTTGAGCTTGTTCATCGACACGTTTCTTTACTCTGGAAGGTATATACCTTCTTCCGCTTCATACGTCAGATTTATGATCCACAGCCTGACGTAGCTCGACGGCCCATAAAATTCCATCCGTTTCCATTCAACGGCCGTTCCTTAACCGGCGTGACTTCCGCAAAAACGCGTCGATTCACTCGCCGCGGTGATCTCACGTTTTCTCATTTTGCCCGCCGAAGACGGAATGCAGGAAAAATAACGTGCCTTGCCTAGTTTCTCCCGGTGGTTCTCTGATAATCAATGCTAGGCTTTAACGCTCGCGCTTAAAAGTTAAAATTCGCGAGGTTCTATATACATTCGGTAATTTTTAAGAGAGTGGTGATTTTAATGCATATGTTAGTAAAACAGCTAAATCTCAAAGCCATTTTATACAAATTTGTTATATTATATAACAGTCATTAATTACTTTGTTTTATTTTATTTGGAAATCAGTATCTTTGCATTACTTCGCGATTAATTCGTGTGATTATTTAAAAAATATTGTCCTGCGCCACAATAAAATAATTTAATTATTATTTATTGTATTTTTATTTTTTAAACGCGTTATATTAAAATATGTTATATTAAAATAAGTTTATAATACATGTTATTTTGTACGTGTATTTTATGAACACGTTCTTTGGCTTGCAACTTTAGTTTATACTTATTGTAACAAATTAAAATTGCGTTCATTCATTACATTAGACACTTGTTCATACGTTTGATACATTTGCTTATATTTCCAATATTTAATCTGATCACATCGAGTACCGCGAATGTCTGTAACGGGTAACGATGCTGTTTGTACTTTCATCGACTTGCGATAACTGACAGACTGCCGTCAGACGTGCGGCGAGAAATAATAACCCTAACTAACACCCCCGAGCTGACTCAGCTTAGCACGCCGCGCGAGCACCCTGCACAGGGTGGTTCAAAAAGAAAACACAACAATTTTGTCGATTAAATTGTTGCATCGGCCCATTTTACGTATCATGCTTGTTAATCACCATTAACTTACATTTCAAAAGTGATCTATTTCTACAAGCTGTTCTTTTGAAATTTTCGATCGAGTCTTCCGTATCTGACATTCTTCTCACGAAACCTATAATTTTCGATTATATTATACATTTCAAATTATTTCTTTCAAATAGTTTACAATTTTTTATCCAGCAATTATTGAACTGTTTGCAGAATAGCTGCGAAGTTCTTTAAAGAAATTAATCGATTCAGTTAAGGGAATTTAAATTTCAAATATTTATAAATGTATAATATAAAAACTAATATAATTACTGTACGTACCAATATATGAAAAATATTTAATTAATTATAATAGAGTGTAATAAGACGGCTTTTAAATAGATGGATCGCGGTCAAAGGAAATTGTTCGTCTAATTGTTACACGCGTACTGACAGCTTCGACGTGCCCGGATCATGCTTTTATACCTGCGTAGCACCTAGCATACATCTGCTCTATATCTAAGCTATTGTACTCGGCACAGATGTGCGGAGTACGAATCGTCTTATCTTATAGATCTATCGCGAGCTGCGCATCTTTGCATGCGTTTCGTGCTATTCTCGTGCCGGCTTTAGACAATCGGAAATGAAGTTGCCCTCAGAAATGATTTTAATCAAATCGCGATGTGAAAAAGAAAATTAAAGCACTTGCATTTTTTCCGGACTAGGATGGAAAAAGTATGATTACTTGATCATTATAGCGCTATTCCATAAATAATCATTCCGTTATAATTACATTGTTGTAAAACAAAATGATATTTATAGTTTACAATTGTTACATCTTATTGTTCGTTAACTTGACAAAAAAGCTTTTATTGTAGTAAATATCTATAAAATAAATTGCAACATTTTGGGATGAATTAATTAAAATGTAATTTATGTTACATTAAAAAGCACAAAAATATTAAAAGTTAATAAGAAAAATATTATGGAAAGTTTAATAAGACTCACGACAGCGGTAGAGCTTTGGTATTCGTGTTTCTTGTTTATTAGCAAGATTCAATTAGTAAAATATTTCGAACTTCTTGTAATTTTTCATTACGCGCAGAAGAAAGCCGTTCGATCATTTAAGCAACAGTTACCTTCACCATGGAGGAGAAGAAGTATTTGTATAACTGACCAGAATTGTGTGCGTATTTCCTTATACGATTCTTCCGCTCCATATACGACTAACGCATAATGCGCGTATTTAATCCTTCTCCGCGTTAAAGTTTCCGTTATGAGTTGTAATTAGATTCTCTTGTACATCGTTTTGAAATAGAGACGTTAAATAGAAATATTAAGAAAATATGATAAATTGTTTTTGTTATAGGATAATCAGATAAAGTATCTATCAAAATTTAATTAGAATTGTTTAAGAATTTTACAAAATCTGAAACATTTGTAACATAAGGGAATAATATTAAGAATAGCACCTTATTGTTTTAGAGACGTACAAATGTAGTCAACAATAAACTGTTGATTTATGTATAAAATTACACAATAATAATTTTGAATTTTGATAAGTTTTAAAAACTCAAGCTAAATTTATACAGCATTCACGTAACATTTTTTAATTAAAATCATTCTAGGAATATCAAATCACGCACAATCTTCTAGAATTTCTTATATAATATGAAATATATTAAAAGATAAAAGATTTCGGCCAGATTATCATCTCCGACCTTTCGCTCGATCGGATAAGATTCAATTAAACGATTCGGTCGGCCAAATCATAATGCACAGGGGATAACAAGGAAGAAATCCTTAAAATTGATTTCCCCGCCGTTCCCGTGGTCGAAACGAATCGAATTTCTTGCTCGTCCCTAATTGCCAATTTCCTGATCATCCTTCGCGAGTCCGCGCCCGAACGAGTATAAGTTCAAGTTCGCGTTCGTTCTGAAATAGACGTGCACCCCGCGTGTGCCTTATACACGAGAATGCACCGCGTCGAGGTGTTGATGCAGCTGTCTGCATATGTGTGCCGGTATCTATACCTGACGCCGGTGCGAATATGAAATTGGACAGGTAAAACCGTGTGGCGTAGTACCAGGAGCCGTGCAATGCATGCACACGTGCGAGTGCACCGGAACGAACGAGAGGCGAGCTTAATGATCGATCAACTCTGCATGGGTTACGCCAGGCGAGGCGAAGATCATATATCTCGCGTGGATGATCGATCGTTGACGTGCGTCTCGGAAAATGGAAAACTTTCATCATACGAAAGAGAACGTATGGCTTTTTCTCATATTGTGTAATGTTTCTGAAGTTCGTGAGGTTCGAAGTGCAATTGTTACTTAAAATCTTACAGAGAGTAAAACAGCATTAGAAACTCTACATAATTATGACTTTAATTGTGATCAAATCGATAGGATTTTCTGAAAATTCTAATCTTAACTTCAACAGATTCTTCATGAATTTTAGGATTTTCGCATGAATTCTGTTATTTTCTTTGGGGAAAATTTCAAGGGAAAATATAAATCGCATACAGCTAGAGCTTGTTTTTAAAAGCAGAATAAAATTAATTTAGAGACGTAAATATTTTATCAAACTGATATAATATCTCAGAGAAAAATTTTGTATTAATTTATTTCCTATCTATAAATTTGACATAAAAGTTTTCGTACTTTATACTGTTCGAGATGTTTCAATCAGACAAAAAGATGTTGAATTTGCCATTGCAATCGTATTTACCGTATCATTCGTTTACCGTACTATGAAAATTTATTATAAGTTTCTTCTCAAATTTTTTTTAAATCTGTAATCAAGCTCTTTATGTATTAATAGAACACATACCAAATTTGATTATTCATTTTAATTACGTATACGAGAGAGAGAGAGAGAGAGAGAGAGAGAGAGAGAGAGAGAGAGAGAGAGAGAGTGGGGGGGAGAAAAGGTAATATTATTTTATTTAATAAATTATTATATTAAGAATTTACGTATCCCGTACAGATAAAACTTTCTTAAATAAATTGTAAAATGTTTTAACGTAATTCTCAAAATATTTCTTAGAAGTTAAAAATATTGTATTAAATGTAATTTATGTGTATAAATTTTATATAGTTGTTTATAATTTATAATTTTATTCGAAGCCGAGATAGAAGAAAAATTTTATATTTTATGAACGTTGAAGCATAAATTTAACCAACGTCAAGGAAACTTTTTACCTTATAATTGATCCCTTTATCCTGTTTCAAACTTTTACTGACTTCAAACGAGTGCAAGGAACTGTTGTTGACTTTTGATATTCTTGATTATTACAATATGGAAATGCAAATATCGAGACTGAAACAACACTTTCGACCCAGGTATTACCGCACTTTCGCCGTAAAAAAAAAAACGGTCTTATTACGAGGAAGAAACCCGAATCTAGGCTGAACCAGTTTCCAGGCTTTCGTGATTCGGGCTAATAGAAGCTCCACCTAGTGCATACCTACCGAGCAAAAATACTCCAATTACTCGAGAACACTGTCTTTGGCACACTTCCATGGAAGTTATCCTTTACCTCGCAGTCTTATTACGTATACACAAATAAAATGCGTTTCCTCGAAATTGAACCAGTATAATCGATCCTTTGAGAATCAATTACCTAATTACGCAACACGTTAAATAGTAATTTTAAAATAATCAACTTTAAATATTATTAAACAGTAAATTCTTCGTTTAATTAGTTTGCAATGTATATAGATAAAATAAATTTCTTTAACTTGTTTCTTAAAAGAAAATGCTAGTTATACATTGTAACAGTTATAAATAACAATTATAAATAACACTTATCTTTATCTGCTTATCATTTTACTTAATCATTTTTTAATTTATTAATAATTTCATCTTCAGAAGAATAAGATGTACCTATACGTTTTTTTTTTCAAATATCAATTACAAATTTCATCATTTCAAAACGGTAGCAAAATTTATATAAAAGTCTCTCTTTTTTAACGCATATGACATCAAGCTATCATTTTAAATATTCAGATCTGATGTCGTTTTTAAGCGTTGTTGTTAAACGAAACAAGCTATATTAGATTATCGTAAATTTTCGCCCATTGAAAGCGTGAGATGATAATTCAACAGAAAATTGAAGACGAAAAGTATAGGAATAAATGAGGCGTTTACATGAAAATGCTTCATTTTTAGCGTTTGTTTCACGAGAGACTGTCGTTTTCAAAAGTTGAATGTGGCGCGGTAGCCGATCATGTCATTCGCAAACGGAGCGCGCAGTTCGCTTAGATTCGTCGTTTGTCGGGCGCGTCCGCCGAACTCGGCCGGCGCGTTTCCGCGTCGCGGGACTCCGCGGATCGTAGCCGCGTCGCGTAAAAATGAGCTGCGAATTATCGGCCGCACAGCCGCGCGGATATTTGGAAATCGAGGTAATCTTTCCGCATCAAAGCCAATAAGTCACTAATCTCAAAGCGTATGATATAATATTGCCGAATAGACATCGGATAAAAGAACAGAGTTGAAATTAGTATTCGCGGCTAGCTCCAACGCTATCAGGCTATAAGTAGTATGTAGGACACGATACGTATCTCGATTTTGGTTTTCCGCGTAAAAATCCAGTAAAATACTAAAGAAAAATATGATTCGATATGCGGGAAAGATTGGCGTGGCGTAGAAGAAAGTATAGCTACATATATCCGTATAGCGTTGGGCGGAGCAGGGGGGAGGGAGGGAGGAGGCGAGTAATTTCTTGACGTATTTGGGAGTTTTGGGACGAGGGTACTAAAGAATTTATTCAAATATGGGAGCCCGATCGGTGTACATACTGTAACGCAAGCAAAACGAGTCGGCGCCGCCGGCGGTTCGATCATGCATGCGGTTTTATCGCGCAAATCGTAACCATGCATGTTGTTTGCAATAATTTATAACCTCTCCTCCCTTGCTTTCGGTCAGAAAATTCGGAAATTCTAGGTACGTTTTTCGCATGTAAATTTTATTACTGCGTATGATATTGTCAAGAAGTCGCGTTGTGCGCGCGCTTAATGAAAAGCAAAGTAATCGAAATGAAAGTCAACTATTCATGGCTATACGATGAGAAAATAATAGTCGCGGAAGCGAGATTGCAGAGCTGCATGGGTAGGTAGATTATTAATTTTCTTTCGCGGAAAATTCACAGATCCAAAAAGACATTCGAATAATGTTATTTAAGTAAGATCGAACAAAAGATGCATTTAATTGTGGAAACGTGAAATTCGATTGTCTTTCAGTCCTACGAAAAATTTGAGTAATCTGGCTAATTATTGATATATAATGCATTATGTAGTATCTAATTTATAAAAGACAATATACGAGATTGGAAATAAATGAGTAAAATATATATCATAAATATAAATATTTTAGTAAGGTTATGTAAATTATATTCAGTGAGTTGTATCAGTTAATTGATATAAATAATAATTATGTTAAAATAATATCAGTAACATTAACAATAAATGCAATAGAAATTAAACATTTTCCTTTTGCACAAATATGATATTACAAAATTTAATGTAAATACGATGTGGTACATATTTATATACAACATTATAATAGAGGGAGTTTGAAACACATCATTGTACTATATGCTATAAAAATAATTTAATTTATGCAAAAATGTTCACAGCGGTACAAATCATACGAATGAATAAATATCAAAATAATATCAAATATGGAGCTTTATACATTACATATCGAACATTATATGAAAAATCTATTTTAACAATGAGTGTCAATTCTTCAAAAGTTTTTATGGCATTCAATTCAAATAATGCTTAATTCAACATAATATGTATTTCCAAATTAATGTGTATATAAAGAATAACATATTATATACATATTTTATTGTGCTCTAGACTTTTTCACGGCACCCTTTTGTGATTTTGGACGTTTGTTCGACTGGTCCGTCTTCGATTCATCCTTGAATTCGTATTTTTTCAACAGTTTCTCCCTTATGAGTAAACCTTTGATAAGCTTTCTCCAATTGGTATAGACCTTTTTCCTCGCTTTCTCGGCAGCTCGTTTGGCTGCTTCAATTTGTTCCGTTTCCCAAGCTTCTCGTAATGTGTCTTCGTATTCGGCGCACACGACGTAGCCCTCAATGGCTGGCACAGCGCCCATGCAACCGAAATTGAAACCCACTACAGCAGTCGCACAATCTATGTTCAATTTCCGCGCGATGCGATTCAATCCTGGAACTGTAAGGATTCACACATTGAATATGCATTGGAGATGTGCATTGCAATACCACAACATTCACTCCTTTGATTTTCCATAATAAAATAGAAATTCTTTCTTAAGCATTTTCCTAATTTTCTATCATTACTTTTGCCACTTATTTGATTCGATGTAAAGTAATATGTAAAAAAGATATTCCATTGTTAACGTGAAATACATATTATACTTACGGATTATGTGCACCGTGCCTTTCGGGAGCATACATTTCTTAAATAAATCCACATTTCCATATTCATTACGGGGTACAATACCATCCTTAGCCTCTGGGGGAATGTAGTCGGTAGTCTGCCATTCTCCGAACAGTTCCAATGCAGAGTCCTTAATTCTCATACCTGAAAGCTATAAACATTTTTTTTTTTAATTTTTTCGTTCAACAATTTTCATAAAAAGAGGTTAAACACATTTTCCAATTAGTTCTGGAATTCTAGCTATATTATTTTTATCAATTTTACCTTGTCATATTTTGGAAGCGCTTTAACTATCTTGTAAGGCTCCTGCTTCGGCTTAACTACCCGAGCTTTCTTTAGCCAGGTCTCCCGTGAACACAGCGTGTGCACGCAATAGCGCGAATAAATAGCTTCGCCCGTTTTTAAATGTCCTAATGGTACACAATCCGGTGGATACAAAGCTTCGTATTTGAGCAAATGCCTGACGAGAACGTATAATGGATGCCCTTTGCACTCGCCGACGGTTTTAGGCAATGGTTGCTCCAATTCCCTGTAAAAAAACAGTAATGCTTTGTTATATTTCAGTTCTCTTTTGATATCGTTCGCATCGGAGTTGTGCCAAAATAAGTAAGATAGAATAAAAAATGTATGTGATTAAAAAAATGAATAAAAAAGGGATATTACTTTTGCAATAGTAATTCATCTTCCTGTTTAGACATAGCCGTCTCTCTTTCCTGCCAATAAGTTAAAGTCTCAATCCACCATTTCTCATCAATACGCTGCTTACGTGTAACGGAAAGCCACTGCGGACAGTAACGTCTTGTGACATCCTTTATTAATCTTTCGGAATTATAAGCTATTACATATAATACTGGCTTGGTTGTTTTTTTCTGAAACATAATAAATTTCATAAAAATTTTTTATTCATAACAATTAGATAAGAATTTTTAGTAAGTGTATAATTGTAGAAATCTGTTATTTTCTCAAGTTACTTACATATATTTCAGTCACACAATCCACATTTCCATCCATAACATTTATGCTTATCCAGCTTGCTTTAGATTCCACATATACCTCGGCCCATACATCTTGTCTCTTTTTCAATTTGTTATCCGTTTCTTCGTCATCTGTCGACGTTTGAGCCTTTTTCTTATTCTTTCCCTTAGATTTAACAGTTGTTTTATTTGTATTACTGCATTTCTTTTTTGATTTGCTAGGCGGTTCGTCGTCGTCCTCGGAACTCGAACTACTACTTCGCGATTGTCTCTTGGAATTTCTTGTCTTGGATTGATTATCTTCTGAGAGCTTGGTACTCTTCTGTTGTTTGGTTGAAGTAGATACAGTATTATGTAGCCTACTAGATCGTAAACGCCTTGGAGATGGACCAGGCTCTGTTTTTTTTGAGCTTGTGGAAGCTGCTTCTATATTTTTGGACGTAGAAGCATTATCTTGCGCAGGTGTATTGCTATTTAACTTGTCTTTGTTTTTCTTACTGTACGAGTACTTTGAACGAAGAATCTCTGCCGCCCTTTTCTTCGCTTCCGTATTAGCGTTTCTTCGTGCACTTTCGTCATTCTGCACTACACTGTTATCTTTGAGATCTTTCTTTGAGTCCTTCTTCTTATCCTCAACATTCTTCTTATCTTTCTTAGAAGACGCTCTTTTCGTTTTTGTTTCCTTTGTTTCGTCTTTAATTTTATCATCTTTTTTCGTTGTTTTAGGCAGTAATTCATTAGAAGCTTTTACAAGCGGTGGATTGAGAGACACTACTAATCGACAATGTAAGCCAATACCTCTCAGTATTGCCACGTACAATATTACCAATTCTCTGTAATTGTAAATTTTCTTCTCCGCGAGCCTTTTTAACAATGTCTCCTTATCTACAATGACTTGATTATCGCTAGACTCTATTGTAAATACATTTTTAAACCATTTCGTGAATTTTGCCAGATATTCCAAATTGAAGTTATCCTTTGGATAATTTTTTGTCGAGACGAGCGACACCGCTGTTGCCATTATCTCAGGATCGTTCGCTTGACGATTTAAGTGAAATCCATAGGCCAACCAACAAAGTCTAGCTGCTTTTTCTATAATAATCTGATTAGCTTTTAATTTCCTTCGCAGAAGCGCAGCCAGATCCGACTCCTTCTTGCTGCCCGGCTTCTTTTTGAAAACCACGTTCGTGCCTGGCAAAGTTATCTTGACCCCTTCCTTAGGTATGGTATAATCCTCGGGACGTTTAACATCCTCCTCTTCCCTCTCGTCGCTGCTCGTGTCTCCGTTATCCTCGCGAAACGCATGCGTTCCGCTTTCCCCTTGGAGCAAGACGGCGTTTATCTCGTCCGATATATTCTCCTTCTTTTCCGCTTTGACTTCTTTTACGACCCGTGCGCCGTCGCTCCTGGAGGAGTGCTGCTCGGGCTCCTCGTCGTTGACAGAAGCCCTCCTCTGCGAGGCTTCCAGATTCTTGACCACCTCGGAGAACAGCTCGATGCCATTGTTCTCGGGCACGCTCGCGAAATTTTCGTCGTCGCTGCTCTCGTCCTCGCTGCTGTTCCGCGAGTCCACGAGGTTAGGCTTCGTCGCCGGTTTTATCGAGAAGAAACTCGCTGTCAGCTCGTCCTTCGGCGTGATACCGGCGAAATCGTTGCTGCTGTCGGAACTGTCATCGTCGGAATCACTCATATTTTAGCGTTATCCTGCAAAATACGATATCTTTAGTCTCCTACTACTTGTTATTGTACTACGTTACTGTGCTTTACCTGCCGCAAGTCTTGTCTCTGCCTGTCAAATTGATTTTCCTTATAACGCAATTTAGCAAAGATTGACTGCCTGACACGAAGTCGTGACAATTTATATTATATAGATGAATTTGTACACAACAATGTGAAAACAGCGAGGACGCACTGCACGTGTGTGACAAAGGACGCGAGGACACATTGTTATGAAATAGGAAAGCGCTATTCTTATTATCTTCGAATGATATATAAGCCTGCTGGTTTACCGATAATAGTAATTATAGTGTGCAAATATGAAGTTATTTTATTTTAATTTGTAGCTCGTGATGAAATTGTTCTGACAATTTAATAAGATAAGAAAATAGGATCTTTAATAAAATAGGAGATTTATGTTAATTATATATGTATATATGTATATATATATATATGTATACCTATATATACATATATTGTATATATAATTACAAATTATTTATATACATAAAATTTATTTTATACAAATACAAATAATTAAATTAAATTAGATTTACTGAAGTAGTTAAAGAATTAAATTATTTTTGTAAATGTTTAAAAATTTTAAATTGTATTATGTAACTTAAACTTATATATTAATTATCTAACTGTTACTTATTCGATTTTAGTGAATTGTTCAGAAATTTTTGTTAAAAATAAAATACGAAATCAAGTAATTATACGTACCTAATATTTATAAGACAATCTTGTGATTATTTTAAATAAATATTTTAGCTTTAGTATTTATAATTAATTAATTAATATTTTTTAGTTTCAATATTTTTGATATTTTAAATCGTATTTTTAAAATTAGTATTTTGCAATATATTTTTATAATATTCTTTAAGTATTTTTTAAATATTTCTTATAATTAAATAATTTTAAATATTCTTTGCACCAGTTCTTAAATTAAAGAATTTTTTAAATTGTTGATTTTTTAAAAGCTTTATGAAAAAAAGTATTATCTCTTTTACCAAGATTTTTTTTATTACTATCGCATTCACTAAATCATAAAAGTCTGATGACTTTTATGATTTAGTGAATGCGATAGTAATAAAAAAAAATCTTCAATCAGTTTTCTATAATATATTCGATGCATTCATTTGACTTGAACCCCTTTATAATAATGCTAATAAACCGACTTTCCATGGATATGATGGATAGTGCGTAACATTGACAACAAAGCCGGTTTATCCAGCGTTCATTTATTCTGCGCTTTATGTACGACAGTGAAATTTATATCCCTGCATGACAAAAGCTGGATTCTATAAAATATTATTGTAACAAAGATCTCCTTTTGGTGAAAAAAAATGCGGAAGGTATATAGCGTGACGGGAAAAAGCGTGCACTAAATGGCAGAAATTAAGTGCACGCGGTAATGCATGAATTTTGCAACACAGGCTTTTTATTGCATCGAAAGTTGTCGTATGCATTTAAACTCGTTGTCCATTCGAATGATTCCCGGAATCATGAATTTGCCTGGAATACAAATGTTGAACGTTCGATATTTCATGCGAAAGCAAAATATAGTTCAGTATTAATAGATTCTTTGAATTGAGTCTCTAATATTCAAATATATTGAGTTAACTAATGAGTAATTATTTATATACAATCACGTAATCATTTAAATTTTATTTCTTGTAGATTTTGATTTCTTTTATGGCGCTTAATTTTGAACTTTATTGGTTTAATTTATCGTCATAAATGATTTTGCATCAATTATCGACATTATCGGGAGTGCCGAGATTATCCCATTTTTTTCCCATTTTGTTCTCTAATGCTCGTAATCGAATTGACATGTATATGGTATGTAGTGCGGCGATGGATTTTCCACTGCGGCAGGTGAGCTGCGTAGAGCAGCGTCTCACACGCTTGATTATGAATGATGAATTATTTCGATAGTAGCGTACTAACATTCATAAATAATGAGGAAACATATGTGCTCATCCCTTTTGCGGCGTTAGCGGCTTTCTCCGAGCGCGTGCATCGCCTCCGGCAATTTATCGGGATACGTCGAGTTTGTCAGTATCTCGTGCACCTGCACTCCCTGAATATGGCTCGACGTAATGGATAATTGGCGATTCGATGGCCGTTGTACAATACCTAAGTGCATTTGTGTGTAAAGCTAGTGCCGACATTTGCCTTGTTCGGTCACATTTCAAATCCAATGTACCAATGTGGAATCCGATAAACTGCGAATATAAGTGGTATACGTGATTTAGAATGCTCCACTCTCCATTTCTCGTAGCTGAAAATTCTGTTGTAAATCAGGATTTGAAGTTGCAGGCATGCTTTTTCGCAGTCTTTTAGTTATCAGTACGAATCGTATATAAGCGTATGTAGAGGTAAACGGAACACAAAGTAAATAAAGTAAACGGGAAAAGCTTATATAATTGTAAAAGAGAAGGATATTTTAATTTCCGCAGCATATTATTTATTAACATTATTGATGTTTTTATATTAAAGCGAAGGATATTGTTTTCAGATTTGGTCTATCCGTGGGACTATCAAAAGGGAGCGATGGGTGTTTGGAGCACCGCGTATCTTAATATCAGTGTGCAGGATTTCTGATAAAGGTATGTGCATGAAGTTATCGAAACCAAACCTTTAACAAAGAACAGAGCCATTGTATAAAGCTACTGTAAACAACAGTCGCATGCATATTCATGAATTTATGAAGATCCGTTTGTGAGTACCGATATATTGTTGAAAGTATTTAATATACGGGCTCGCATTTCGTGCTTATATTGTCGTTATGTTCTCTCGAAGAAGGCTGAAAATAACATAATGTGACTTTAATGAAATTATAAATGAAAAATTACGCGGGAATGTGGAGAAAATTTATTTTCCACCGCGCGGGACATGCACAGGTTTAAAACACCCTGGGTCTTATATTTTATGCTGCAAATTTCAAACCGTTTGAAAGTTTTTTTTACTGTGTTTTTCATATTCTAGTAGCTTCATTATGGAGTATACCTCATAATGAGGTACACGCGTATACTATATGATTCTCTCTTACTTCATACATGTATATATATTCTTTATTATGCGAGTTATAAATTCAAAAAGCATGATATTTTGGAAAATTGGACATTATTGCAATACTTTGTTCAAACAAACTAAGTAAATTGTGTACCTCTATATTCTCTTGCATACAAATTACATATAAAATATCAATGGTTAATTGTTTGTACGGTGTTTTATCAATATCGTTTTAGTTAATCCACAAATTAAAAATCTATTAAAATTATCTGCTTGATATTGCATAAAAAAGAATAAAAAGTTCTATCTATTTCATCTCTGAAGTTTAATTTGCAAAAATTTTCTAAACTTTTACTTACAGGAAAGAAAGTTATTACTTAGCCAAAATTTATATTGAAATAAAATAAACATATAACATTTATTTTATAATAGCAGGCTTAAATTTTAAATATAATATGAATAATGCTAGAATTTTTAGAATTCTAGTGCGATAGCGAGTTGATAAACAAGCAAAAGATTTTTTTAAGGGCTTTTTAAGGCTTTAATAAATCTTTTGCACTTATGTTCTATAAAGTGTTTTCTATAGTAATGTACAGGTAACTTTTAATATAAAAACTCATTTATTTTAATGACACTACGTAATGCACGTAATGCGAATTTGCTGTTGTGGTATATGTAATTTTACCTTGATATTGTTCCCCTATACGAGAGGATATGAGATAATTACAGTTTGCACAGCTGTTTCGAGATATGGTTTGTTCGGAAGCTGGATCGAGATGTAGCTAATCCAAATTGCGTTTCCGGTATCAAGCATTCGTTAAGACTTTTAATTACTCCCAAGCCACTTTCAAGTATAAAGTTTCTAATTAAACACTGTTAAACTCCGTGAAATCAGTTTCAACTCTTTTTGGTTTAAATGCATATTTAAGGAACAAGTTGCGACGAAGTAATTACGGGACCTGTGACTTTTGATTTAAAGATACTGATTCAGAGTTTTAATCTGTCGGAAGTTTAAATAAAAAAAGAAACGAAAGAAATAAATGATTAAATGGCACCACGACTGTTTATAAAAAAAACATTCTCGATATGCAATATTAATTTGTAACAACATAAAGATCGATTATTCATGCTCGATTTTTTGATAAACATATAATGTTATTACTTGCATATACAAGGCTCTTTATATTTTTTCCTATAGATTCATACAAATTCTTTTATTAGTTTCATGTTTATTTTATTTTAATATAAATTTTGACTAAGTAACAACTTTCTTTCCTGTAAGTAAAAACTTTTGTTTAAACTTTTGTTTAAACAATTTTTGCGAATTAAACTTCAGATATAAAATAGATAGAACTTTTTATCTTTTTTACGCAATATCAAGCAGATAATTTTAATAGATTTTTAATTTGTGGATTGACTAAAACGATATCCGGAGATTAAGCGTTAAAATGCTGCGGGGAAAGACAGTTCAATTAGATTAATCTTCCTTCGGGAACTTTAACTTGGTCAAAGAATTTTTTAATGAAATAAGAGCGGACACATCTAAAATTCAATGTTCAAGCTGCAAAGCTTTAAAGTGCATTTGAATATTTGTATGTGCTGAATCGTTAATAGCTGGATAATAGTTTTGTCTACGGTGCGCTCTGGCACACATCAGCTGTTGCAGCAGCATGAGTTTAAATTACGAAACATCGCGACACGTGCCCCGATATAATTTACTTCGTCGCATTAGTTAAATATTACGGTCGATAAAAACAACGGTGTTGTTTAAATGACCAGGTCACGCGAAAATTAAACGTCATTCGTAAGCTCAATCGGAAACAAATAATCGATAAAAGCGATATTTGCCCGTGTTTAAAATTATTTGAACGTATTGAGAGATAACAGAAACTTTACGCGTAATAATGTGTATAGTGTCCACTTGGTCCACTTGTGTCAAACGTGAAGAGATTATACAATATAAAAAGTAACGAAAGAATTCCTTTGGAGCAATTTTATCGTTGCTTGTTGCCTTCTATCATTTGTAATCAATATGTTTCAATGTGATTGATGTGAAGGAAGTAATATCGCCTGCAAACAATATTATTTTATTGAAAATTCGATATGTTATAATTTTACAGGGGATATTAAAAATTAATGAGTTTTTTTCAATTCATTACTCATATGGTCGTTGCACAAGTATAAGAATATCGGCGAGATGTTAGATCC